CAATCGTTAGAATTAGGCATTTCTCTGAATTTCCTTTTAAAAATAAATTATTCCATTAAGAATCAAATGCAATGATTAAAATTTCAAACATCTAGTGAAATCAGAACGTGGTGTAAACTACTGGCACAAGACCAAATGCAAAAAGAGTCTCAGCTGTTTTGAAAGAATACTTTGTGGGGTCTCTCAGTAAAATGATCTGAGAATATAAGAAAAGCAAAAGGTCTTTTATGAAACAAAATATTAAAAACAACTTTTAAAATAAAGATGGAGGAAGTCTAGCTATAATTCACAAAAATTAAAATAAAGGGCTACATTCCTAAAATTTAAAATATGCACATTCCCCAAAGTATTTAGAAACATAGGCATTTATCATTACTCTAACACAATTCTTAAAACTTCATGTATAACTCTCAAACAATAACAGTATCACAACTATTTAGGGGGACAGAGTCCCTTCTCTGAAGAGGATGGATGCATTACATTCTTTTCTTCCAATTATGGAGTCTCAACTTTCTGTATTTTCTGAAAATAATTTAATATTTCAAAGCATGTTTGGGTATTTGCAATTCACCAACTTGCTTAATTATTTCAAAAACTACCATTTCAAAAGTGATCATATTTCCTATAGTCATTGTTTATTAAGCAAAGTAAAAGAATTACACAGTAAATGATGACATAGGAACATGAGATTAGAAATTAAGATATTCATTCAGCCACTCATTCCTTCTTTAAAGAAATACCTGAATGCAACTTTTGTGCCAAACAATGTACTGAAAAGTACTCGAATTCTTGGAGTAACATAGTGCTATATTTCATCAAATGTGAGATGCCATCCATCATTAAGACAAACTTAATGAAAAAAAGAAAAATGCTTTAAATTATGACCTAATGCTTTGCAGTCAGATGCTCCAGCATTGAGCTATATACCATGGCCTAGTACTTTGGATGATTCACACCAGCTGCTCGATGCTTCCATTTCTTCTAGTTTATCAATAAAGCGACAATTCTTCCTGCCTTCAGTACACTGCTGGGCACTTTCGATGGCAATCTCTTTTTATATACCTCAGTACAAAACAAAGCTTCATCTACTTTTGGGCATTTTCCCTTCTTAGCTCCCACAAAGCACTGGCTGTTGCTTTTAAAGAAATGTTAGTGGAATTATGACAAATGCACTAATGACAAATGTTTATTTCACTAATATGGAATTCCCTTCTCTACTTTGGTTCTGTCCTTTCTTTTCTTTCTCTTTTTTATTCAATAACTTTAGTTTCAATGTCAAATCATAGAGAGAGCTTCTTGAAGATATTTTAAATGGCAACTAAAGCCAACATAATTGATGGTGAAAGTGCTGAAATGATGACACTGAGAACAGCTAAGCCTGCTAAGACACAAGTATGGATAAGCTGATGGAATGGAAGGCACCACTGACTGTTAGAGAACATCTCTATTTCAAAGACACCAAAATATGAAAAGATCTGTGTTTCAGAATCACAGCAAACACTATAAGATAAACACCACTCTGTGTACCTATATTATCATGTGAAATTCTACAAGGCAAGTAGATTATGTGCTTCTAGATAAGGAAACTGAGACAAGATAGATAAAAGTAACTTGGCCAATATTACAAAGTTGGCATGTAGGCAGGCGAGCACCTGAATCTAGGCAGCCTGTGTCCACACATTACTGGTTTAACCACCATGTCATACCACCTATCAAGTAAGTAATCAGTAACTAGCTCTGTGATCTGAGGCGATTCATAAGCAAAGGGATTTCCTGCGCTTATTTGGAAAAGAGGAGAATGGTAGTTGATGGCTATGGAATTCTTTTTCAGAATCAAAATATTATACAATCATTAATAGAAAAAGCTTGGTCCTACTGGCAATGATGCTAGGCTGGGAGAAAGGGCCTGCTTCTCAGGCACCATTTGGGACATAATGTGGATCTACGTCAGCTTCCTCTCATAAAAATGGGTTTATACAGAGAGAGACTGTCTCACGTGAGACTCCTCTGAGACACATGAATATAAACATGGCGGATGCTCTGACACAAATACCACGGTCAATGGTCAGCAACCCCCTTTACAAGTGGCTTGGTCAGTGAAGTAAACACAAAGAGATGACCTTGACCTCTAAAGAGACAATGTTGCTTTGCAAGTTCAAGAGGGCAGCCTGAAGTTCACAGATGAGAACAAACATGACATGCCTGAAGAAATGACAATGGGATGAGAAGAATAACTATCTCCTTAGTGCAGTGCCCACTTGTACACCCCAGAAGCTAACCTGCACCCCACACTTGCCAATGCAGTTGCTGCCCATCCATGCTTTGAATTCTAAAGTTAACCTTTCTCTTTACCCTCTATTTCTTTTTTCTGACACTGGAAAAGATCCAAATTCCCCAGGTTCTGACCCTTCAGCATTCTCACACTCTGTCTGGACTCCCCATCCCCAGGCCGCTTTTGCAGCTGGAAGCAGATTTCTACTGCTGAGCTCTAACTTAAAAAAGTTTAAGTTTCTCTTTTTTTTTGTCTTTTTGAGACAGGGTCTCCCTGTAGCCCTGGCTGGCCTGGATTCGCTATGGAGACCAGGCTGGCCTCGAACTCATAGAGATCTGCCTGCCTCTGCCTCCCAAGTGCTGGGATTTAAGGTATACACCACCATGCCTGCCTCGAACTCATAGAGATCCGCCTGCCTCTGCCTCCCAAGTGCTGGGATTTAAGGTATACACCACCATGCCCGGCCAAGTTTCTCTCTTTTCCTCTTCCATCTTCTCCCAACAGCTGCTGAACTCTCCAGCTTTCCTGTCCTGTTGTTTTTATTCTTGAGCGCCAATAAAATTGTTCTTGAGTATTCTTCTGAGTCCATCTCAAATTCTTTGGTTTTGTTTGTTTGTTTGTTCTGTTTTTTAATAATTATGTGTAAAGCACACATGTGGACGTCAGAGGACAACTTTATGGAGTTGGTTCTCTCCTTCTATCTTTATGTAGATTCCAGGGATCAAACTCAGGTTGCCAGGTTTGCATGACAAGTGCTTTTACCCGCTAGGCTATCATGCCAGACCCATCTTTTATCTGCAAGACTAAGAACCTGCAGAAGAGGCCTTGACTCTCCTGGTGGCATTATGCCAGTTTCTCCTTAAGCCAGTACAACTCAGACAGCTTCACGGTCATTAATTTAGGAAAGAAATTCAGCTTTCATTATTAATATTCTAAAATAGAGATATTTGGGGGAAAATATTTAAGAAAATCATGTTCTTGACCAATTATTTCTCCATGATCATGGCAAGGGATGATCATGATGAAAGCTATCCAACTTGAGTGTTTTACTCTGCTGTCTACTCTACTTAGTCATGCAAAACATTAATTTAGGTGGGCGTGATGATACATGCCTTTAATCCTAGCACTCAGGAGGCAGAGACAGGCAGATCTTTGTGAGACTGAGGCCAGCCTTGTCTACATAGCAAGTTCCAGGCCTGCTGGAGCTATGGGGAGACACTGTCTCAAATAACCAAAATTATTCATTTATATATATAAATTCAAAATTAACATATGATTTCAGTGTGTCAATTTTTATGGCTACTGACAATGCAGAGCCACTATTCTTACCATACGGTTCATGTATGAGGAGAAGAAACAATAGATTAATAACAGATGCAAATATTACAACATTTTCCCTCTTGACCCAATTTAAGAGTGGAATTAAATATGCATCACAGACTTGACAATTCTTCTGCCTTGGGGGGGCTGGGCATACCCTAGAATTGTCTTACACAGGCCCAGCCAGCTGCTCTGCCTCCAAAGTAACCTCCCTCATGTCCACAGCCTTTGATCATCAGGAAACCAGAAATAATTAAAATTCTGATACTTCACTTCAAAATTGTCCCATTGATAAGGGAAATAAACCAAAATATACAATATCTTCAAAGTTTTCATATTTCCTCTATTTAATTTGTGTGTGTGTGTGTGTGTATTTGTGTATTGCCTGCATGTAGGTAAGTGCACCCGTGTCGTGCAATGCCTGCAGAGGACAGAAGAGACTGTCGGATCCCCTGGAACTGGAGTTGTGGACAGCTGTTAGCTGCTATGTGGGTGCTGGGATTTGAATCCAGGTCTTCTGCAAGAAGAGTCAGTGTTCTTATCTGCTGAGCTACTTCTCCCCCATTTTTTTTTTTAATTTTTCATTTTATGTGTATGAGTGTTTTACCTGCATGTCTATAAATACTCTGTGTGCCCGCAATGTCCTCTGAAGCCAGAAGAGGGTGTCGGATCCCTGGACTGGAGTTATAGGTAGCTGTTAGTCACCATATGGGTTCTAGAAAACAAACCTGGGTCCTCTGCAAGAGCAGTCACTGCTCTTAACCGCTGGGCCAGCTTTCTAGCCCCTCACTATTACTTTTAAAAATGTCAAATATATTAATTTCAGGCTACTTTTCTCTTCTGTCTGGTTCTTTTTTATTTTAATTTTTAGTTTTATGTGTATGAGTGTTTCGCCTGCAATGCATGCAAACACTAGAAGAGGGTGGCAGATCCCCTGGAACTGGAGTTATAGACAGCTGTTAACTGTGATATGGATGCTGGGAACAGAACCCAGGAGCTCTGCAAGAAAAACCAGTGTTCTTAACTCTGAGTCATCTCTCCAGCCCTGCTTCTCTTTTACAGACACATAAACTGTCCAACACAAAACAGAGAAAACATTAAAAAGCCTTAAGTCAAATAAGGAAGGTAAGTGAATACTATCAAAAGTGAGCTCTTAAAAAAACAGGGGAGCCGGGTGTGGTAGCGCACACCTTTAATCCCAGCACTTGGGAGGCAGAGACAGGCGGATCTTTGTGAGTTCAAGGCCAGCCTGGTCTACATAATGAGTTCCAGGGCAGTTGGAGCTACAGGGAGACCCTGTCTCAAAAAGACCAAAAATAAATAAATAAATTTTTAAAAAAAGAACAGGGGAGAAGATCATCAAAGCAAGATGGCCTGCACCAATGCACAGGACTTGACTATTACACACCTTGCCATGCTGCCCAGTCCTTTCATAGCAGATGACCACATCTTCCCACATTTCCAGCTTCTCAAATATCTGAAGGGCTGACCTGGTACATCCCAACTCAAAGAGCAAACTTGCAAGTTGACGCTAGAAAAAAACAAATGAGAGTAATTAATACTTCGATGGAAAGAGAGGCCCACTTCACTTGCAAGTACATCCCATCTTACTTTCCAAGATTTGCTTATTGTGAAAAATGTGCCACTTCTATCATTCAACCTCTATCATCTAGGAATTTGTAAAAACCATACTTCATCAAGCTTCTTTATGGGGATGAAGAACGAAAATGAAATTTTTAAAGAATTCGCAACTTAAAAAAACAAAATCAATTATTTCCTTCTTGTGCTGGTTACTTTTTGTCAACTTGACACAAACTAGAGACACCTGAGAAAAGGGACCCTCAACTGAGGAAGTCCTTCATTGGATTGGCCTTGACCATGTCTGTGAGCCATTTTCTTAACTGCTAATTGATGTAGCAGGCAGGGTCTAGCCCACTGTGGGTGGTACCATCCCTGGGCAAGTAGGCCTGGGCTGCATAAGAAAAGGAGCTGAGCAAGCCAGGAGAAGAAAGCCAGGAAGCAGCCAGCATTCCTCTTCCTCCTCTGTGGTCTGTGCTTCAGTTCCCACCTCCAGGTTCCTGCTCTGACTTCCCTCAGTGAGGGACTATAACCCGGGAGCTGGAAGGTAAAATAAACCCTTTCATCCCCAAGTTGGTTTTGGTCATGGTATTTATCAAAGCAATAGAAGGCAAATTAGAATACTTCTTATCTAAAGATTCTAAATACAGCTTTACACAGTGGCAGTATCGTAGCCAATGAGGTTTATCCGAGGCACAATTATTGCTAATTGGAAAAAATAAAAAGATTCTAAATATGAGAATCCCTGACTTACAAAAGTACCATGCAACAAATCAGCCTTTAAACCTCTGAGCAGGCAGTACAAATGCTATAAAATCTGTATATTAGTCTTCAGGAACTTTACACATGAGGTCATCTCTGGCTCTTTCTCATGAAGGTCTATTTATTGTAGGCACGTTCTAGTAAACCGAGTCACTTAATTTCACGATTCCTGGTAAATATATTCAATAATAAATATACTATAATTGATAAGTGGTTCATCCTACAGAAATGAAAAGAAAATTAGATGAAAAAAAGTAGGTGAGTCTCTTGAATAAGGTACAGTTTCACATTACTGAGATCTGTGCTATTTTCCCTTTGAATAACGCCTTTACTGCCCTCTGAAAATTCAGTACACATTTAAGAATTAAGATGTTAATAGAGGTTAGAGATGCAGCTTAGTTGGTAGAGTGCTCACCTAGCATACAAGAAGCCCTAGCTTTAATCCCCAGCACCTCATAACCTGGCACAGTAATGGATGCCTGTAATCCAAGTACTTGGGAGGTAGAGACAGGAGGATCAGACTTTCAAGGTTATCCTCAGCTACATAATAAGTTCCCAGAGCAGCCTGGAATACATGAGACCCTGTCAATCAATCAATCAATCAACCAATCAATCAATCAATAAGCTATTGGATATAAAAGATCAGGGACTGAAAAATGTAAAAGTAAAATGAATAGGAAGGAGGCAGCAAGGTGGATCTCTGTATGACTGAGGCCAACGTCTACATAGTTCCAGGCCAGAAGGAACTACAAGGAGACCCTACCTCAAAACAAACAAACAAGTAAGATAGAATATATCAGAAAACTATGAGCTAAGATAGTCCCAGAGTAAAAAAGGGAATGTTGCCAAATATAGAATTTGGCAATTTCAGAGCATTTGATTAAATCTTTTCGAACACTGGATATAGGACATAGAAGAGACAATGAGCCTTGATGCTCAAGTAGTGAGCACCCCAATATTTCTATTTGAAGAAAGCAGTGGCATCCAATATGGTAAGGCTAGTTAGTGTAAAGACACTTCTCCCAATTAATTGCTGTTACTGCCTGATCTTTTAAATAATGCATAAAGATAAAGATACAGGTGCTCACTATGATAGGAGAAAAGTGATTTAACAATAAAACAATAAAAAATTATTTTATCAAATTGCCTAAGGACTCTAAAACCATAGCTTCCTAAGCAAATAAACATCCAGTTTACATTGCATCTGGGCAGTATTTAAGTTTCCTAATGCTTCTATTCAGAAACACATAAAAAGCTATACTCCCAACAGACATGTTTTATTTTAATAATAACTCAGAAACTGAAACAGTGGCCAACCCCAACCATTCAGGGCAGACATTTATCAAATTTCATAGATCAAGAGCAAATGTATGCCAAAGACTCAAACAGTTAACAGTCTCTTTAAAAAGCTACTCCTGAGTGTTACAGCAAAACATTTTACTGCCCTGTTTTACTTCAATATGTAAGATTAATTTCAAAGTGCAATAAACTTCCCAGTTTAAGACTCTAACCTACTCTAATGAATCTCATAATGGGAAATCTAAGCCACTGAACAGTAGGTAGCATCTTTAATTCTAGATTACTACTTGTGTGTAATCCATAAGAGAGAGAAGAAGCTGATTAAAATGCCAGCAGTTACTAAACCATCTAGAAATCTCTGGATAACATCATTTAATTCCATTTAATCATTCTGTGCAACAATGTCCCCATCTGTAAAAGTTGGAACATTTTATAAAATTGCTGCAATAAAATAAGGTAAGGTGTAAATTGTAGAACAAAATGTATGCATCCTGCCAAGTGCACCTGGAGATTGTTACTAGGTAGCAAAGTAAGAAAGGAGGTAAACTAGACTAAAAGTCAACACGCTAGGGATCTAGTTCATATACTGTTGTGTGACCAACACTGCAAAGTTCACTGCACTGAGCCTTCATTTTCTTCTATATAAAGTTAAGAAACTAGACCAGTGATATCAATATTATGACTGGGGAAGCATATCTGATTCAGGAGGCATGGGGACAGGAAGTCCAGCACACTAACTCAACATGGGACTTTGGAAGATACACTAGTTACCCTCATACCCTCAAAAAGAGGAGAGCAGCTAAGCAAATCTCAAAGCATAAAATGCCAGATCAATGCTTTCTTTTATTTATTTATTTATTATTTATTTACTTATTTACTTTTTTGTAAACAATACCATTAAAAGGTTTATTCTTTGGCAGAGAGTCCTTAAAGACTTCTAAATATAACATGACTGGATGGATAGATAGTTTGGTGGCTAAGACTATTTCTTACTCCTTCAGAGAACCCAAGTTTGACTCCCAGCACCCACGTCAGATGGCTCACAACTACATGTAACTCCAACTCCAGGGGATCCAATGCCCTCTTCTGTCCTCCTCACTTCTGTCCTGCACACTTGTCACATACACTCACACAGATAAATATGCATACACATAAATAATAAAAATAAATCTTAAACTTTTTAATATAAATTGTTCTTTGAAAATGAAGGCAGGCAGTTGGGCGTGGGGTGCATGCCTTCATATCTCTGTGAGTTCAAAGCCAGTCTGGTCTACATAGTGAGTTCTAGGCCAACTGGAGCTACAGGGAGACCCTGTCTCAAAAAGACCAAAAAAAGAAGACAGGCAAATGACTCTCTTGAAAAGCCCAATCTACTCTTAACACTGTCTTTCCACTCACTTTCTCCCTCCTCTCCTTCCTATCTCCTTTTGTCTCTCACTACCTACACTTAGAGCTACATTAAAATTAAGAGTACTGGCTGCTTTTGTTCCCAGAACCTACATGGTAGCTAACATCTGTTTCCTCAGGCATTGCATGACATGGGTACACTTACATACATGTGGACAAAGCACTCAAACACATAAAAAATTAAATAATTTTTTAGAAACCTTTTCTTCTTCAATATTTTATTATTTTTATTTTATGTGTATGAGTGTATTGCCTGCATGTGTGTAAGTGCACCCATGTCATGCAGAGCCCACGGAAGCCAGAAGAGGATATTGGAGCCCCTGAAACTGGAGGGAAGTGAACCCAGGTCCTCTGCAAAAGCGGTCAGTGCTCTTAACTGCTAAGTCATCTCTCCAATCCTACAAATCTTTTCTTAATAGACTCCAGCTCATAAAAGAGAAAACAAAAATACTTATGGTTCTCCTATTTTAATTACTAGGATTCTACATATTTTTAAACTTTTCCAAAAGTTTTTAAAATTATCACTTTAAACAAATCAGTCATCTGAAATAATTAGTAATCCCCAACTGCTTTTATTTTCAATGAAATATTTGAAAATTCAAAAATAATTTTTTTAATTTTTTATTTTTTTGGTCTTTTTGAGATAGGGTCTCCCTGTAACCTCAGCTGACCTGGAGCTCACTAGGTAGATGGTAGACAAGACTGGCCTCAATCACACAGAGATCTGCCTGCCTCTGCCTCCTGAGTGCTGGAATTAAAGGCGCCTGGCATAGAAAAATAAATTTAAATCATTCTTTTCTAATGTATTTTCTTTTCTAATGCAAGGTATTTTTCTTTTTTTAATATTCTATTTTTTTAAATATTTCATTTATTATTTTTATATGTATGAGTGTTATGCCTGCATGTAGTAGGTAAGTGCACCTGTGTCATGCAACGCCTGCAGAGGACAGAAGGCGTCTGTCAGATCCCCTGGAACTGGAGTTACGGACAGTTGCTAGCTGCCATGTGGGTGCTGGGATTTGAACCTGGGTATTATGCAAGAACAGTCAGTGTTCATAACTGCTGAGCTTCTCTCCAGCCCCTTATTTTTTCAAATGTGTATAAGTGTATTGCCTGCATGAATGTAAGTGCACCCATGTCATGCAATGCCCTCAGAAGTCAGAAGAGGGCGTCTGATCCCATGGAACTGGAGTTACTGACAGCTGTTAGCCTCCATGCAGCTGCTGGGAACCAAACCTAGGTCCTCTGCAAGAACAGCCAGTGCTCCTAATCACTGAGCCATCTCACCAGCACCCATAAAGTATTTTTCAGATCAAGGACAAACCAGTACCTGAACAGCCCAGTGAGGGGGCACTTGACAGCAAAAGAAAATCTTCAGACGTTCCAGTACAGATGTAGTTTTATCTTCGAACTGGTCTGCAAGAGCCTAAAGAACACATACAATAATCAGAATCTGTATGTGAATAATTTTAATATAAAAATTCCTACTGTAAAAATTATAGAAATGGCCAGGCATGATGGCACATGCCTTTAATCCCAGCACTTGAGAAGCAGAGGCAGGCGGATCTCTGTGAGTTCAAGGCCAGCCTGGTCTACATAGTGAGTTCCTGGACAGCTGGGGCTACAGGGAGACCCTGTCTCAAAAAAGACAAAAAAATATTTACACTTTCAGTGTGTGTCTGTGAATGCATGCACATGAGTATCCTGGAAATTGATTCCAAGACTGTGCACATGATTAGCAAGTGCCTTTAAATATTTAAAAAACTTTAAAGTTAATATTTATATAAACATGTACACTTAAAAATGTTAAGAGCTAACATTTTATATAATCTTTCAAAGAACTAATCTTAATAACAAGCATTTTTATTTTTCTAAGAACAATTGTTCTTTATTGTATCTATCTCACAAGATGCCATTTTTGACAATGATGCTCTTTAACATCAATCAGAGAGTAACTATGTGAAGACTTCACTGAGCATTATGCTCTCAGGAATTAAATAATAGGGAAAAGCAGGTTTATCCTAACACAGAGAACAAGTTCTCTCACCCCCAGCAACAAGGCTATAAGGACAGGCATCCATTCATTCAAAACCATCTGTATACTGCAGTAGGCAGTTGCAAGTGATGTGCACTGAAGAATTCCCCTGATGCACTGAAATGCCCCACCTGGTAATGAATAACAACTCCCAGGGGCTACACCATGAAGCAGACAAGAAGACCGAGAAGCTGACTCTGCAAACAGGAACCCAGGCCAACTGCAAAGCCGAAAGCTGGCACTATCCAGTAGTCAAGTGACTGGTCATGAAAGAGCTCATATACAAAATGACAACTTAGATACACATATCGTCTGGAATCCTAGACAAACACATGGACAGCAGCCCCATTACCATAGTCATCTTTCTCTGCTTCCTGATTTGTCATTCAGTTTGTACTGAATACACTGATTTTTTTTATATCAAACTTTCGACGGTGATTTAGCATGACTTTTTTTTCATAATAAACAAGTGATCTTGTTAACATGTCATTTTCTGATTCTAATGCACAAAGCTATCATACAGGGTAATGTCTTTACTCTATCTGAAGCTGATAAAGTACCATGTGACCGTGACCACTTACTCTCCCACATTATCAGGATACAAAAGTTCTTACATACTTGTGCCTTCTTTCAAATTGTTTCAATTTATTACAAAATTAATCTTTAAAAAATAGATGTAAGAAGTAAGATACAGCAAGTATAAATGTCCTAAGAAGAAAGATATGGACAGGAATCTAACATATCCTAACAAAATCCTGTTACTATTTGATATGCAATGTCCCTGACAGGCTCATGTGATTGAAAACTCAATCCCTAGCTGGTGGTGCTGTATTGGGAGGTTATAGAACCTTTGAGCCAAGGGCCTGGCTAGAAACAGTGGGCATCAAGGGGTGACCCTTTGAAGGTTGTTATATCTGCCTTTAATTCTGGTCTAGAACTCTCTGTCTCTTGGTGGGCTAATATGTGAACAACAATGCTGCCTCCTGCTCCCACCACCATGCCTTCCCTGCCACAAGGAACTAAAGTCCCCTGAAACCATGACACAAAATAATTCCCCACATTAGCTGCTTTGTCAGGTACTTTATCATAAAGATGAGAACAGGAGCTAATTCAGACCCAAACACAGAAAGACCAGTTCCTAAGCAATTGCACAGCTCCTGTGTTGGGGTTACTCTCTTACACTAGGCAGGAGACCCACTTGTTACCAAGAATCTCTTATAGAATGAGCTTAAGTATCAGAAGAAAAACTCATTACACATCACTTCTTAGACAACCCAAGATTCTATTCAATCAGTCAGTCAGACTAAATTGAGACATAACTACACGCCTCAACCATCTTGGACAAAGCTTTCTGGCCTTACTTCACAGAGAATAGCAAAAAGGTTACATGTTTCTGCCCAGTGCTGCTTCAATGTGGGTAGAAAAGAATAACTTCTGGCTGAGGACATGTGGTTACAACATATAAGAGCACAGATTACTTCATGAAAAGGAGGCTTTTTCAACCAACATGCCACTTTTTAAAAAGAAAAAGATTACTTAAAATTAAAAGATAACATCATTAGTTACATGTAAAAATTTTTTTGTTTTCAAAGAAAATACATGTTGTTTGTTGTAATAGTAGCTAAAATATATTAAGTATGTAGCACATGCTTTTTTTTTTTTTTTTTTTTTCGGTCTTTTTGAGACAGGGTCTCCCTGTAGCCCCAGCTGTCCTGGAACTCACTATGTAGACCAGAACTCACAGAGATCCACCTGCCTCTGCCTCTGGAGTGCTGGGATTAAACGCGTGCACCACCATGCCCAGCTAAGAATAACAGTTTTTAATACCCTTTGGTGGTTTCTTGACAGCTGAACAATTGCCACTTCAAAACATTTTAATTAATTGGGCATTTAGGCGGTACTTTTAAATGACATTGATGATGATACATTAAGAAGAATGATGGATGTGACAGTATTACGTCACTAATATTTTAATATATATTTCAAAATAATTTCCCAAGTGTGAGCAATATTTGTTGCTCAGATATAAATGAAATTCAAACCCCTGCTGTGAGAGGGAGCCCAAAAGAAAATACTGTTGAGAAACTGGATAGTGACTTAGATCAGAGGTCAACAATCTCGGGCCCTTGGGCCAAATCCACCGTGTTGCTGCCAAGACCACAATCCCACCTGCTCATTACATGATCTATTGCTACTTTTGTGTTCTACCTACTAAGCCAACAAAGCCGAGTAGCCAAGAGATCCTAAGGCTGAAGTATTTACTATGTGACCATTTATAGAAATAGTTTGCTGACTCCTGGTCTAGATAGTATTTCCATCTTCCTGGGTTTTTTTTTTTTTAACATTTTTATTTATTTTTATTTTATGTGTACGTGTGTGTTGTCTGCAAGTATGTAAGTGCACCCATGTTGTGCAAAGCCCACAGAGGTCAGAAGAGGGCATTGGATTCCCTGGAACTGGAGTTATGGACAATTGTTAGCCTCTATGTGGGTGCTAGGAGTCAAACCCAGGTCCTCTGTAAGAGCAGACAGTGTTCTTAACCACTGAGACATCTATCAAGCTCCATAAGGTATAGTTTTTAAAATGTAATCTAAACATAAACATAAGGGACAGACAAAGATTAAAACCACAACTCCAAGGCCAGGTGTGGTGGAGTACCTCTGTGGTGGAGGGAGGGAGGGAATCATTTAACCACAGTGGTATTTATCCATAAGATGATTTTTAAAGTAATTCTTGCACTTTTGGTAGTCTATGAGGATGACTGTCAAGAGAGCTTTCTTTTTTTTTCATACATTCAAGGTGAGTTGGTTAATGTCAGCATCATTCACTGATCACAAGTATGTCCATTCACTGGGAGCAAATTCTCTCGTGTGTGTGTGTGTGTGTGTGTGTGTGTGTGTGTGTGTGTTTACGTGTGTGCCGAACAAGACTGTAACAATGTACAGAGTGAGAGTGTACTGCAAGGTTCATGTAAGCCCAGAATTTTTGGTAGGGGTCTCCAAAGCTGTGTGCCCTATCTACTCCTGTACCTGCCCATTTTTCTTTCTACTTTCTAAACTGGACACCTGAAAGTCATGGACACTTAGTTATAAACAAAAACTAACATGAGGAGGTGGTCTTTAAGGAAAGACAAAAGAGAAACACAAGCATACCCCTAAACCAATCATTCAGAATGGCTCAGGCTCCTAAACAAACAAAGAATTGAAAGTAACAGTGTCTACTACTCCAGGAAAATGACTAAACAGATATGGACAAGGGGCTGGAGAGATGGCTCAGAGGTTAAGAAAACTGGTTGTTCTTGCAGAAGACCCGGGTTCAAATCCCAGCACCAACATGGCAGCTAACAACTGTCTGTAACTCCAGTCCCAGGGGATCCAACAGCCTCTTCTGACCTCCACAGGTGCAATTACCTACACGCATGCAATACACGCATACACATAAAATAAAAATAATAAATAAAATTTAAAAAAGAAATAGGGACAAATAAGAAAAACAGAGCAAAGAGCACTCTAGGACATGGCCCAGAGAAGGGGGAAAAGTAAATCATACTCACAACGTTCCATACAGCAGGTGCCCCATGGTACACAGACTATGACATGAGAATGCTTGCAAGTTGTGGGAGGTTTTCTTTTCAGATTAATTTCCTATTGCCTTTTTTATTTATGGGCGAGTGCCACAGGACAACTTGCAAGAATTTTTTCTCTCCTACCATGTGGGTGTTTGGGATCAAACTCTGGTCCTCAGGCTTGGGGTAAGTCTTCTTACCTGCTGAGCCATCTCACTGGCCCTGTGGGGGATATGTTCTTTTATCTTATTTCATTTCTTTTTCTTTCTTTGAGACATAGTGTTATTATGAGCCCTGGCAGGCCTCAAACTTTCAGCAATCTTCCTGTCTCAACCTTCCTAAATGCTGGGATTACAGGTATATACCACTACCCTGGCTCGTTTTCAAGTTTTTGTCCTTCCTCTCAAGATCATTTCTCCAGAATCTCGCCTATACTTTATGAAAAAGTATGTGTGCATATGGAGCCACAACATCCCTGCAGTAACACCTCCCACATCTCCAGAGCTGCAGTCTCCTAGGACAGAGCGTATCTCTACAGAATGGGTTTAGTAAAAGTTAACCCCAGAATGCAAAGATGTATCTCTTCGTTTTGGTGTTCTGTTTTCAGTAAAGAATTTTCCAGAAAATCTACACAAGCTCAAGCCAAAATTTAAAGCTAACACACAAAGAATGATTTAGACTATAAGGACAATTCTGAACAAGATCTGTTATGATTTAGACTTTATGTGCTTCTATTTGAAAGTATGGCTCATATATCTTCAAAAGAAGAGCTGGGCCCAAAGGCCCTTCCCTTTCACTGAGAGCAGTTGATTCTCACAAAAAGGAT